TGGGGAATATCCAAAGTGCTCTCTTGATCCATTCTACTTAAGTGAATTCAACAAATGATGCTGGAATTACTCCACTAGTTAGGGTCTTTTAATTTACTAAGAAATGTGTTTGACTTCCCATAAAACATATAAACTGAGTTGATACTGCAGAGTTCTCATCTGATTGCCTTCCTATTGGGCTAAGAACCACTATATACTGGTACTTAAGAATAACAACCAAAGTATATACATTCAGCTAAGGGAACGGTTTATTTTTGATACCTTATAAAGAAATAGTTTGATAGCTTTTGACATGTACAACTTGCTAATGATAGGTGATACGTACTTGTCCCTTTACTGAGACTACAGAATTGTTAAAAATTCAGTCTTATTTGGAGAAGACACCTTATTTTGTTTTCCACTTTTAATTATCATGTAAGCAGTGTTCTGGAAAGGTTGGAAAGTTAGAAAAATCACCCATAATCTCATTAATTAAATATATTTTCCGACTTCCATTCTTCATGCATATAAGTGATTCTTTTGTACAGTTCAACTGTAGCAGTTAAAATTTTATATCTGGTTTTTCAATTCATTTTTCAAATGAAAAATTTTTTTCTCATTGAACAACTTTCTTCTTAAGTATGATACAAACATTTTGAGAAGGAAAGGTAGGAAAATATTTTTAATTTTATCAGCTATTTATATAGTATTCTATTCTTTTTGTATTAAATTCTTTAGTATTTTGGAAACTCAGCAGTATTATAGATAGGAAATATTTTTATAAATTTTTAATAATTTTATATTAAATACCTACCTTTAATATACCTACCTATATTTCCTATCTAGCAGTATTAAAGGTAGGAAACATTTTTAATTTTATCAGCTATTTATATAATATTCCATTCTTTTTGTACTAAATTCTTTAGTATTTTGGAAACTCAGCAGTATTATAGATCTGTTTTCCTGATTTTGCTCTAAGTAACTCTAAATTAAATCTGTAAGTCTGAGTTTACTCCATGGTGCAATATTCCTGCTGAAATGCTTAGAGCTTCGAATACATGTTAGATACTTACAATAGTCATTAAATCTCTGTGTTTGCCATTTTCATTTCTAATTTTGCTTTCTTGTGATTTTTTTTTTAATTTCTTGATGGTCCACTGTCTAATGACATCTTTTTATGACTGCTTAACAATGTTATACTTTTTAAAATTTCTCTTTTGATCATTTTTCATTTGAATCTTTACTATATTATTCCATTAACAGTTTCTTGAGTTAAAAATGGATTCATTTTTTTCTTTCTTCCTTAGAGTGTATTAAAACTTCTCTATTTTCCTAAGCAACCTTTACTGTATCCTATGGTATGAAGGGATTTTTTTTTTAATTCTTTTAGTGCATAAATATGCTTTTTGGTTTAAAAGTTACTTAAGGATCAATTTTGACTTTCTAGGATATGTTATGAATTTGTGAATTACTATAATTTATTTAATTGAATGGAATCAGACTGGAATATGTTATTTCTAATTGAACTGAAAAGTGAAAGTTTCTTATCATTTAGTCAATTTTGTAAATTTCTAAGGAGGTTTTAGGAATGGTAATTTTTGGTAATCATAAATGTTTTAATCATATGAATTTATAGTACATATGTTTTTCTGTATTTATATATACATATACACATAAACATACAAAATTATGTCTCACACATTTATCTGTGTTATGTAATCCTTACTGCTTACAATTCAGATCTCTCACATCTTCCTGTTTACTTACTTTTTTTAATCTGTCATGGGATGATGGAGGTTAATTAAAGTCTGTATTGCTCTTGTCAGTTTCTTTTTTACTTTCCTATAATTTATGCCTTACGGATTCTGGTGCGGTAGTACCTGGGTACACATACTTATCCCCTCATTATGTCCTTTAATAGTATGGGTTCCTTATTTATATCTCTGTTGACAGTTTATCTTGTGTAATAAAAATCTCAACAATAGCTTTTTCTTGTGAGTATTTCTGTTTGTTTAACCTTTCTGCATCACTTTGTTTTAATTTAATAGGTCTATGGTAGTTAGCCTATAGATTTTTTTTTTACATAATTAAAATTCTTTTAAATTAGTTTTTTTTTCTTGATATTTTTGGCTTTTGTTCCTATTCTGTGTTTCATTTGAAGAAATCACACCTATACATTTTTACACACAAAAGCATTCATTATCTAGAAAGACTGAAACTTCCCAGATAGTTTCATGATTATTAATTATTGAACTCTTTACAATTCTCAGAGCTGTGCATAAGGACTGGATTTAAAATATATTTGTTAACTGATTGACTGAGATGTCAGAAAGTGTGAATCTCTACCAGTAGTGTTTGGAAAATAATCAACAATCAAGTGGTGATGAATTTGGGGCAGGAATTTTTGTGGTCTCCCTAGAAGCTCAAAACCTCAGTGGCTAAATCCTTCAGCAATGTGCACCTGCTATTTCTGTACTTGGCACAGACTAATCAGACCCACTCTGGTCAATAAGGAATAAAGCACAGTCCCATCCTCTTCGGCCACCTGGCCATTACTACCAATCAATTCACAGGCAGGTCCAATTTGGAATGAGATTTTAACTGCCCCGCTCGCTTCTTCTGGATCAATGTGATGGCTGAAAACAGCAATAAAGTGTTTAAAATGCAAAGGAACACACAATGCAGAGGCCTAAAAAAGAACTACCTCAAAAGTAAGACTTTCTCTTTTCTTATTTCTTTCACTTAAGCCTTTTGTTATTTCTGCATCCTTCCAAAGTCATTCTTCAATTTACTTTGTAAGTTAGTCTTCCAAAATATTCTTTCAGAGACATATTTCTGAATTAAAAGTAAAAAAAAAGTCTTTGAGAGAACGAGGTTGCAGTCACTGCATTTTTATTCCTAGGCGAGGCTCCAGAAGATAGACTTCATAGAAAGTTAGGAAGCTGCTACCAGGGTGTTTTGGCTCACCTGTCCAACCCATGGTAACAGCTCACCTTGAGACTACTGGAGGAGATGGGGGTGGGGTAGAGAAATGCAGGCAGGTTTGTTTTGTGGAAAACAAGGATTATATTTTTAGAAAACTGGTGTGTCTACTAGAAGCTAATGTATTAATGTGACACATTATATTTCTGGATACAAATGGAAATAATCACAGCTAGATAAAAACCAAATGCTAGAACAGGGAAACCTACACTAAACAAATGCTAATGAAAACACACGGTCCCTGGTAGTTTAGAAAAGTTCAAAAAAAGTCTCAGAAAAAGAGCCCATGACTTAGGAAAAGAGATTTCTCCCCTCCTCCCTCTTTCTTTAGTGCTAAGGAGAACTAACCTTGAAAGGTCATGGGACAAGGTGCCCTGCAGCACTGGTCACTGTCTTGACTAGTTTTTAAGACTACAGGGTGATTTTTTTCACAATAGATCAAACCAATGGCATTGTTCTCTGAACAAATTGTGTTAATCAAGCTTTGCATACTCTTGTACCAAGTAATTACAGTAATAGGCTACACGTAAAGCCAAAGTTAAACAAATAAAAAGGATGGCAGTGGGGAAAAATAGAAAGGTAGCAGGTAGTGGCTGAAAACATTTGAAAGACATAAATCTATGATGCACTCCACTTTTAAAATGTTTTTATCAGTGACAGGTAGAAGTTAGAAAATGCCCTTTATTTCTAGAACTTTATTAGGGTTGCGAATTTTGCTCTAACAGCTTTGAAACAGGGATTGGAAATAAATTGAGCAATATGGAGTTCTAGCATGGTATACATATATATTTGACAGAAACCAAACAAATTCAAATCTAGGTAAATGAACATCTTTTCTTAGTAAGTGTCAAAAAAATAGCACTTGGTTTCCAATTCATTTATACACTTTGGGCTTGTCTGTATGCTTTATCATGCTTCCCAAGTTAAATGTACATACTTTGCAAAATAATTGTCAGGTCATTCTGCATAAATGATGGAGCTGTGAGGACAGCCTGGACACCCAGATACCCTCCTACATGGGTTGAAATCTCTGGTCAAGTCTGATGAAGCTACAGTCTCATTTGTTAAGGTGTTCACATTCTGTGAAAATGGACATTTTGATTTAAGGGATAAGAGAAACCTGCCTCTAGTGTTTTCTTCACATTTAAATTAGAAGGGGGGGGGTGAGCAAATAAGCTAAATAAAAAGTGTGAACAGGCATCTGATAAAGATTCATGTCTTTGATAAATGAACTGGAGATTTAAAAATATCATTTTAGATTATTAGGCTCTTAATGTCAAATGGCTCAATTTCTTTCTACTTTTCTTTGTTTGTATAAAACACACTGAATCATGAATCTAATTCAAGTCAGTGGGGCTTTACCTGGAGTTGTGGTTGGGAGAATCACCACTTTCCTACTGCTGTGCTACAATCGTCATAACTGTGTAGATTTTTACTTTTAATTCACAATGCTTTAACTTCCTCTGTGGTGCTAGATCTCATATGGAACAGAGTACAAAGCCCAAAGTTGATAAATCTGGGCTGCATCAGAAACAGTTATCTAGGGTGGCCGTGGGAGGCATATCATGTTGTGAATTACATCAGCATTAAAAGAGGGGGGGAATGTAGAGTGAAGGGCTCACGGGGCATCCTGAAAGTTGTGATTGGCAGGAAAATACACTGAACGAAAATTCTAAGTTCAATTCAACATAGAGTCAACAACATTCCACATTTTTTGATTTTGACCCAAGCCCTTAGATCCTAAGGCTGGAGGGAAAAAGGGAGGAGAGAGAGAAAGGAAAAAACATACCATCCATTCTGCGTGGCAAAAACTGCTTGTAGCGCCTCCTATAAACATTTTCCCCAAATTAATAGGACCACTGACTTTTAACCAGATACATAGCTCCTGAGAATGGAGATAACATTTTTCAACCTCCTTTGCAGACAGGTAATTCCATGTGAGAAGTTCTAGCTAAAAAGATACATGCAGAAGGTATGCAACAACTCATAGGACTTTTGTTTTTTTCCCTAAGTCCCCCCTGGTGAAGTGGGTGGGTGGATAGCAGTCCCTTTCCTGGAGATACTGCAATACCAGGTGGATGGATGGAATGGGGGGAGCAAGCTCCTATTCTATCTCCCTATCCTAAAAATTCATTTACTAAATTGTCCTCAGATAAAGGACGTGTCAGATATTCAACTGATGAGAACAGATACTACACGTGATATTAGCCAAAAGGCCAAGTATCAATTCTTGCTTGTTTATACCTACAGTGCTACCTGGAGTGCTAAGGGCATGGACTACCCTTAGCTGCCACCTCTGACCATGAGTATGAAGGTCCCACCCAGGAATGGTGAATGGCAAGGTGGAAGGAGCAGGTCCCGGGCAACGGCATGAGGTGGAACCCCCAGACCACCCCTACACAGACTCTGATGGACTTCCACAGGAGATACAAGCTCCTCCTGCATTTGAGCCACTGCTACCCTGGGCCTTTGTTCTTTCAGCTGAACTGACCTAATGGTGACATTCTCAGGAAAGGCTTATTTTGAAGAATTAATTCCATGCGTTTACATGTGCCAGGAGGTGTTCATATAAACCTTGTCAACAGTAAGCGTCTTATTCAGCTCCAAGTTTTTGTCATTGAATCTGTAACTATCTGAAATACTACACAGTCCATATTTAAAGTGTAAAGTGCTTTCCATATTCATCTTTTTTGAATTTAGCATAATTGTATTCCATTAAAATTATTTTCATTTTGTCCTACATATTTGCAGTTGGATTTTTCATGATGGTTTTGACTTCTTCCCCTATTTTGGCATTTTATTTTAGATGAATTCTTTGTGGAACAAAGTAGGCCAAGGCTGGGGTAGAAGATGACTCACGTATCAGGGAATATAGGGTTCTTCAAGGTCACATAATTCAACTATGACGGCCATGTGTCCAGAACTCAAGTCCTCTGACTCCAAGTCCATCTCTGCTGATGCACCAGGTTGCCCCTCCTGTTATTTCCTCCCTTTCTGGTCCAGGATTGCCACTTAGAAACTAGCACAGAGCAGTGAACACACAGTAGGTCCACTGTAAGCTCCTGTAACCAGTGTGCCAGCATTCTCAATTCTACTTAATTTTTCATCATGCTTGTGTTTGTCTTCTTGACAAATTTAGTTCCACTGTAATCTCCAAGGTAGGACAAAAGTGCAAAAAGATAGGCCATAAACAGACAGGATTAAGGTATTTTGATTCAGAGAAGAAACAGAAAGTCTCAGATGCTGCTTATTAAACTTCTGCTGTACAGTCTGCATGGCAGAAGCTGTATTTATTTCCTATCTATTCCTTTTTTCCCCCACCCCAATATATAGAGTGTTTATGTCTTTTCTTCAGGGAGTCAAATATAGTTGATAAACATGACCCAAATATATCTGCCCCTCCAAATACAGACACATAACTTTAGAGAAATGCCAAGGAACTGTATGACCAGAAGAGCATTAGATAATTTAATCAGGTGCAATACTTTAGGAAATGCACTTCTACCGTATAGTTTTTTTTAAATGCAGGCTAGTAATCCTTAAACCCAGAGGAGTAAGCACTGTATCTGCCCCCAGGCTACCCAGGTTTTGAATTTGGCTACTTCTCCTTGAGAAATCAGCACTACCTGACTAGATTCTTTAATCCCTCTGTGGAGATCCCAGACTCCTCTGCTTGCCCTCTTGTTTAAACTAGCTTTGACCTGACACAGAAAGTAAAAAAAGAAAACCCAAAACACCAATAACCCTGGGGCAAGAAAAAGATGAGAAAAGATGGTCCCAGTCTTCCCCAAACTTGCCATACCTTCCCCTCAAGCTCACCCAAGCACCTTAAGAAAACAAATAAGAGCCTCCGTTTCAGACTGACCAGCATCTGCTGGTTAGAGGATACATTTCTGGTTAGGCCGAAGGCAGAATGAAATGCACACACACAGCCATCCCCAGTCATTCATCAGGGACAATTACCATGGGCATCACTTATCTCATCACAGCCTGCACTGGCTACCACCCAGGTTAACACAGAAACACTGAGGGTGGGTATAACACAACCACCCACAAATTGTCTGTCACTATGAATTATATACCCCTGTCCCTGTTCATGCTTCATTTAAAATAATACCTGTCCTCTCTATGCACAGTCATACTGAGGAGCAAGGGAGGGTCGAGAGCTGCACTGCAGGGACATGGATACCACATACCTCAGTTCTTCAGGCAGCACTGGCTAATGGGCTGCTAATAGCCGGGGATGTGATTTGATGCCTGTTCTCTTTTTATTTATGTAACCCACTATTCACAGCCTTAGACTTCCATTCACTTCCTCTCTGCTCTTGCACACGTGTCTCCCCAGTCATCTTCCTACCCTTGATTTTTAGTCGTGTGTCTGTTTTTTCCCCTTTCTGGTTCCATGCTCGGATCTGTGCTGAAACCTCTGTGCTCCTCAGTACTGTTACATACAAAGCAGGGTGAGGACTGCCCTCACCAGGCTGCGGGACAGGCCTATCTTTAGCCTGAACAACGTGATAATGGAGTTCCAGGACGCTGTAAGTAGGAGAGGTGGGCTGTGCAGTTGCCAGCATGCTCAATCCAGCTTCCAGTGTAGATCTATGTGCCTCCTCCTGCCAGGATCTTCATTTTCCTGCTCCCTTAGCTCCCTTTCTTTCCTTTTTTTTTTTTTTTTTTTAACCCATTTAACTTACTCAATTTTTACAGCCCCGCTCAACTGAAACCTGCATGGTAAGGCCTTCCCAGGGCATGGCATAATTTCTCCTATATGTACACTTCTTATTGCATATTTTCTGGAATTCCAAATAGTATTTTATTACATAAAATCTTTATATATGTAAAAATTTTGTCTCTTCCAAGTGACGATGGTGTTCTTCATATCGAATACTATACATACACACTGTGCTTTATAAAGATGAATAACATTTTTTTTTTTTTTTTTTGGTAGAGACAGAGTCTCACTTTATGGCCTCCCTAGAGTGCCATGGTGTCACACAGCTCACAGCAACCTCCATCTCCCAGGCTTAGGCGATTCTCTTGCCTCCGCCTCCTGAGTAGCTAAGATGAATAACATTTAAACTGATGTTTCTTAGAACTTGAACTTTTAGAAATTACTTATTTGGGAGAGAAAGACAATCTCTTATGCCTTCAATGTTTAGCAACTGGATGTTTTAAGTTGTTGGGCAACTAGATGATACAAAGATAACATTAACACCAATTAAGATAGAGCTCAGATGTCTATGTGTAAGATGCAACTTGAATGGGTTTTATTATAAATTTTAAAATTAGTTTTTATAAACACTATATTAATCAACTTTAAAATACTTGATCATAGATATATTATGAAACTAGAAGCCATTTAAAGATATTTTACAGTAATAAAAATTGGTGAATACATTTGTCAGCATTTATGCTCGATTATCTAAAGGACCCACAGAATCCACGGTACATCAATTCTATAAATATATCTACAAAGACATCATTTTTTAGCAGTAACATACAAAATGAAGTATGCAAAGAAAACTTGAAAAAAAATGCTCTTTGTTCACGTATTTTGAGATTTTAATATTACAGTTATTTATTCACAAGAATTTCATAAGACATTAGTCAGTATGCAGTAGGATATTTTGGAAAAGTAATGAAGGCTTAATAATGTGAAATTTTAAGGCTTAATCATTTCTTTTTTTCTGGGCTTCTTTTCTAAGGAATAAATGAGGTGAGACTTTCTTTTCAGTCTTGGACCTTAGCTCTTCCTAGCCTCATTTATCACTTCTCCCCATTTGTGGAGCTGCTGACTCCTTCCTGATTCTGTGCTAGCTGCCTTCTGAGACTCCAAGTCCTCTGGAGGCAGAGCCAGGATTTGAGATCTTTGTGCAAAGCCTAGCAGCACAGTAGCCATCACGAAGTACGTGCACATGACAGGAAGGGACAAGAGCTTACTCGGTAGACAAGGGGAAGGGGGGAAAGAACGAGAAACAACGTGAATGATGACCTGGTTAGCACCTGCCATCTGCTAAAGACTGTGCCACTACACCTCAGCACTCGTCAGGCATCTCTCGTTAACCCACACAGCTACCTTTACCCAATACCTATACGCAGTGTTCACTCCTAGGCATTCTCCCCATGTCCTAAGGCAAACTCATAAACAGATAAGGACATTAAATCAACATATGGCACTATGATTCTGGATAGGAGCTGTAGGGTTAGGCGTGCAAGGGAGAAAGTATCTCCCTTTCTAAGACCTGAAGGTGGTTTGCTGATGCTGAAACAAAAAACACAAGGTACAAAACAGTGAGAAATGAGTATTATAATAAAAAACAGATCCTGTCCTAAAGGACATGATACTCTGGTTAATGAGCTTGGACGTCCAAGAATACAGTAAGTAAAGCAAGCAGACAGCCCTCAGAATGGGAGAAAATATTTTCAGGTTATGTCTCCAACAAAGGTTTAATAACCAGAATCCATAGAGGACTCAAATG